AAAGGGGCACGGCTGCATCATATACCCACATCATCATACTGTAATCATCAACAATTAAGAGAAAATACCTTTTATTATTAAAGGTTTCTATTTGAGTTGGTCCACAAATATCAACATGAACCAATTCCAATGGAGCTCTAGCTCTCCAAGATGATTCTGATATGCTAATCTATATAATTTTCCATAAATACAATATTCATATTTTATTTTCTTTATTTATTGCTGATAATACGGTTACCATACTTTTCTGGCCCTTCAATCTTAGACTTTGAAAATTTAAGTGCTCAAATATAAGATGCCATAGGTAGGATTTATCAATATTTTCAAAGCTCAGGGCATAATTTTCACATGTTGGCATGACCATAGGAAATACCTTATTTGTGGTCATTTTTACTTTGGCTATGGTCTGTCGAATTTTGTTATAAAAAATTATACATTCATCTCTATTGAAATTGATTGAATACCTATTTTTCATCAATTGCCCAACACTTAAAATATTTTGTCTCAAGCCAGGAACATAAAGATCATCATGAATAAATTTAGGGCAACCTCCTTTATGGCTTGTTTGGATAAGAGCAAATTAGGAATCCTAGATATTTGAAATCCAAAGAAATCTATGGATTTTCAATATCAAGGATTTTTGTCATGGATTCCTTAAATCTCTTGTTTGGATAAACTATACAAAATTCATAGATTCCTTGCAAGCACTTCCATGTCCATTGTTTGGTAACAAAACTTGATACAATTTCTCTCTTTAAAATTTTTATGTACTTTCTCTCTCTAAAACTCAAAATTTGGGATAATGTATCTATAAAATTTTTGAGATAGGTTTGTCTCTCTAAAATTTAAAATACTTTTATCTAAATTTAAAATTTGAAATTGTCTATCTAAAAATTTTGAGTTAATTTCTCTCTCTAAAATTTTAAGGTGCTTTGCTCTCTCTAAAATTTAATATAGTTTCTCTTTCTAAAATTTTAAGATACTCTTTTTCTAGAACTCAAAACTTGAGATAGCTCCCCTCTTCAATAATTTTGAGATAGTTTATCTATTCAAACATTTTTAAGTAGTTTCTGTCCCTAAAATATGATATAGTTTTTCTCTCAAAGTTTAAGATACTTTCTCTTTCTAAAAGTTAACATTTGAGATAATTTCTCTTTAAAAATTTTACGATAATTTCTTTTTCTAAAAAAAATATTTATTTTCTCTCTCTAAAATTTGATATAGTTTCTCTCTTAAATTTTAAGAAGCTTTCTCTCTCTAAAACTTCACGTTTGAGATAGTTTCTCTCTTTAAAATTTTGAAATAGTTTCTCTTTAAAATTTGATATAATGTTTCTCTAAACTTTGATATACTTTCTCTCTCTAAAGTTTAAAATTTGAGATACTTTCTCTCTCTAAGATTTAAATTTTGAGATAGTTTCTCTCTCTCTAAAATTTTTTGAGATAGTTTCTCACTCTAAAAGTTTCATGTACTTGCTCTATTTAAAATTTGTTGTAGTTTATCTCTCTAAAATTTTAATATACATTCTCTCTCTAAAATATAAATTTTGTGATAGTTTCTCTATCAAAAAATTTTGATATAGTTTCTATCTCTAAAAGTTTTTAGGTAGTTTCTCTCTGCAAAATTTGATATAATTTCTATTTTAAAATTTTAATATATTTTCTCTCTCTAAAATTCAAAATTCGAAATAATTTCTCTCTAAAACTCAAAATTCGAGATATTCTCTCTCTAGACTTTTATTTTGGAATTTCTCTTTCTAAAATTTATAATAGTTAATCTCTAAAAATTTAAGAATAATTTCTCTCTATACAATTTGAAGAATAATTTCTCTTTCTAAAACTTAAAATTTGATATAGTTTCTCTCTCTAAATTTTTTTGAGATAGGTTCTATTTCTAAAACTTTTTAGGTACTCTATCTAAAATTTGATAGAGTTTCTCTCCCAAAAAATTAAAATATGAGATTGTTTCTCTCTCTAAAAATTTTGAAGTATTTCCTCTTTCTAAAAATTGAGATTGTTTCTCTCTCTAAAAATTTGCATGCACTTTCTCTCTCTAAAATTTTAACACTTTCTCTCTCTAAAAGTTAAAATTTGAGATAATTTCTCTCTAAAATTTTGAGATAGTTCTTCTCTTTACAAAATTTGGTACTTTCTCTTTCTAAAATTTTAACATACTTTCTCTCTCTAAAAGTTAAAATTTGAGATAGTTTTTCTCTCTAAAATTTTTGAGATAGTTTCTTTCTTTAAAAAATTTAGATAGGTTCTCTCTCTAAAATTTTCGTACCTACCAAATGGTCCCTATGTTTCAAGTTGAGGGAGCCAATGAGTGAAATCCTTGGGCCTTGAATGCAAAAAAACAGGTTTTGGTGTGGAAATAAAATCATGGAAAAAAAGGTCTTATTTCCATGATTTTCATTTTCCTGATTTTAAACAATCCAAATGGTGGATTTTACAATATCTAAGATATTAAGAATCCATGCTTTAAAATCCATGCACAGGCCCCTAGGTTTTATGGCAATTATTCCCTTTTCTTCAACATTTTGAAGTTTTCCATCTCCTAGGTTGACCTGTGAAATGACTTTTTCATTTGTTTCAACAAAACTACTCTTATTTCCTATCATATGATTGTTATAGCCACTATCCAGGTACCAAACATCTTGTGAATTTTGTTGGGCGTTCATACCTAAATAAAACATATGACTTGTATTATTATCTTCAAATAAATTTGCTTCATTTTTTTGAATTTGATTTTTCTTTTGAAACCAGCAATTCCTTTGAGAGTGATTTGGGATTCTGCTTTTTTGACATTTATATCCGCAATTTTTTATTCATGCCTTGATTTTTTACAAATAATACAATAAGATTCAGATCTATTTTTTTTATCTTTCTCTAGCTATTCATATTTCTGCCTCTTCCTCTTTCTTGGTCTCTTGAGAAATTTTGTCTTCCATGAACTCTTTGATAATTTTGAAATGTCCCACTATCTCGTTTTTCTTCAAAATTTTTCTTTTATGGAATTGTAACATTTGACTGAAAAGCTTGTTCCATATTCTAATTTGAAAATCTATTTATCATTTCTTTATGTACTTTCATAGACCCACTTAATTTTTGCAAAGATAGTTTAGATAAATATTTTGATTCTTTTATCGCAGTCACAACATGGTCAAATTTTGCAGGTAGACTTCTTAAAAAATTTTGAACTATTTTTTTATCAGAAATATCTTCCCCATAACATCTGATCTGATTTATTATTCCTGCAGCTCTAGTGAAGAAATTATGAATTGTTTCACAATCTTTCATCATCAAATTATCAAAATCTTTCCATAAATTTTGGAGTTTGATAAAAAATATTTTTTCAGATCCGTGAAATTCATTTTTCAAAATTTTTCATGCTTCTTTTGATTTTGAAGCTATTTTTATTTGAAGAAATATGGCTTTACTTGCCGCTTGTTGGATGAAGAGCAAGGCTTGTGCATCTCTCCTCTTATTTTCCTTGTAGTCGTTCTGCGTGGCCTGCGACCATGATTCCAACGCTGCTACATTTTCTGGCACTAAATAGCCTTCTTCTACAATGCCCCCACAAATCTTGTGAGATAAAAATAGTCTTCATTTGGAGACTCCATGACTCATAGTCTTCTCCATCTAAAATATGAATTAGGTTTTGGGTATAATTCATACCTAAAGTGGAGGCCATAGGGAATAGTTTTTTTTTTTTTTTTAAAGAAGCACAGGGGTATCGCTTTGATGCCAAATATTGGGAATTTAATTGGAAAATAGCAGGGGTATATTGCGTTGATATGGTAATTTAATTGGAAAATAGCAAAGAACGAAGATAGGGGTGAAGAGGAAGCAATATTTATCTAAGGATATTTCACTATTTCATAAAATAACATGGATACAACAAAATAACATGTATTGAAGGACCACGCTAGTCAGGTTTTTTATCCATGATTTTTTGACCACCCAAAATAAGGTACCCCTGCACTATTTATAGGCTTGTGAACCGCCCTTCTATAAGTTTCTAGCGGTTTTTACCACCGCCTTAGCTTAAGGAAGAATCTAGAAAGAGAGGCAGTGATTAGAGATTTCTAGAGATCACCAACCTACACAGAAGAATCTAGAGAGAGAGTAAAGCGGTGATTAGAGAATTCTAAAGAGAGAGAGACAAATTATCCATTTAATATTTCTTTGGATTTCCAATGTCCAAGATTTCTAGTTTCTTTCTATCCAAACGGGCCCTATAATCGTATACGCATTTTTTATAATATTTTTAATAATGTTGTTTCAGAATTGCAAATTTATTTCAATGGTTAATATTTAATATAACGTGCATAGCGCAAGTTGAATTTTAAATAAGAGGTTGACTAAGCTGGAACTTGTAATAATTTAGCACTTGTATTGATATTTTCTCTCTTACTTATATGTGCGTGTGTCCGAACCTGCGCATGCGAATAATATATATGAAAAATTGCCGTTGCTCTCTAAAATTTAGGTCAAATTGTTCTACAAAATGACACATAATTGGTCTTAGATACCAAGAGTAATAGGTGACTCCTCCACCTTTCAAGCAAAGATGTCAATCGACCTTGTAATAAAATCTCAAAATGTAGTTAAGAAGCTTGATGGAGAGGAATCATCTTTTCTCTCCACGAACAAAAGAGAAGAAAATTCCTCACCATCCTTAAAACCTTTGCTTCTTTCTGAGGGAAATAATATGTCCTCTATTTGCAAAAGGTGTGTCACAGGCAAAACTTCAGAATGAAATTATTTCCCCACGATTCTTTACCTTCTTCACAAGCTTTTCTACAAGCATTTCATTTTAGCCCATAATTTCAAAATTTACACCTTTGAATATCTTTTCTACTCACTTTTTTTTTTTTTAACATTAAAAGGAAAATATCCTATTAAATTTGTGATGTTCATAAATTAGTAATCTACAGCACTGAGTTTAGTTGTTAGTGAAAGACACGTAACCTTGAGCCCCGCTTGGACGGCCCTACGATGCCATTGACTTAACTGGCGAGACATCGGTGGTTAGGGGGTCAGATGCCTCAACATAACAACCCACCCTCCATTTAACATATTGAAAGCAATATTTCGGGGAGAGATGGTCCTCATTGTGTTTTATTTGGCTCTTATCAAATGGGGCATTAGCATTTAGGTGCAGGCCTTATTCTTATATGCTCACAGATCATAACAGGAACTTGTTGTCTATAGCTCGATAGGTATGGAAACAGCAGCAACTATCCTAGGTCTCCAACTGCCTTTATTTTGTGCTAGTCCAGCCATAGCTCCCACATGCTTCACAAAAACAAATCAATATTATCGAAGGAAGAACTCACCGCTGTGGCTTAGGCCCAAGATCAAGATAATATGTTGCAATATTAAGAACATCAGCTCAGGATCCAAGTCACCGAATCCTAAGACAGATGATATAGCTGACAAGAAACCTAGTCTTCAAGAATCATCAGATGGGATGAAAATCTTAGAGACTCTTCGAGTGGTTTTTTCTGAAGATGACAAGTCGCAGTCTCTGAAATCTGTGGACTTGGAAAAAATTGGGGTAGGCGCCTCTCTCTTTCTATGACACACGCGTGAGCGCGAGCTTGCACGCACTCACTCATTTGCACAATTTATGCATCTGTACACCAGTTCGTGACGTGAAGAGAGCAGTTTTCTTTCCCCTGCCTTCAAATTCAAGTGGGTGGTTTGCAATGGATGGTATATTAAGTTAATACCCTCTTTAAAATCTAGCGCACTAATTCATGCCCTCCCCTTATCTTGTTTTTCTATTACTCTGTATCTTTTCTTTCCTCCCTAAATTCTAGCATTTCCCTCTATATCATTTCCTCTGATATGATCTTTTCTAGAAGAAACCAAAAACCTACAAATTAAATCTGGAAAATTTTCTGTGCTCATAATGAAAATGAGCATATTTTACCCAGGGGAAAAAATAACCACCAATAAATTCCGCTTACAAAATGTCATCTTTTGGCATTAGCAATAACTTTGGTAGAATTCTATATGCTAGCAAGATGTTAAATTCTTCTCAACTGCCTGACATAAAAAATTGATAGGCCCAACTACTCAAAAGTCTTGTCAAATATTTTGATGAACTTTTAGTGTACGAGCCGCATATCAACCGTGCCTGGAACAAAGGCAGTTGGGAAACGATTTTGCACCATACAAATGTCGTAAAACCAGAATGTTACATGTCATTCCAACCATCTATACTCAACAATGTACTAAGGAGATGAGTAGATCTTTTGTAAACTGATCAACACTGCCATTCTCCGCTGAAGCTGAAGCACAGCATCTCTCCATTGTCGATTGAGTGGAAATGGCAGGAAATGAGCGTGGTCTTAATTGATTAGCGCTTGACGATTTGTAATGTTACGTCCTAGGCTCAATTCCTACCGAGGGCAGGCTTAATTCCTACCAAAAGTAGGGGCCTTCTATATTATGTTGTTAAGAGGCATACATCATAATACGAATCCCAAAACAAAATAATCCAAAAGATATACCACCTCCGCAAACCCGAAACTAACAAAAATATAAAAAGAAATATATGTAGGTGCTCCCAAATGGGTAAATAATAACAATACATAAATAACGGAAATTAACATTTCCATGGGGCAGGCAGAACTGCATTCTACAAGTGGTCATAATCGGATATCGATGATGGATCCATGGCAATATCACTCCAACTGTTGGCGAGGGGAGATTTCACATGTTTCTATAGAAAAATTTGTCGTACTCCTTTATATAAAGTGGAATACATATTAAGATCCATATGGTCGTGATAACAACAAATAACATATGCTTCAAGTCAATAGGCTGGAGTGATTGATGTAGAATGGGGGGATGAAATTCAAATAATGACATCTTTGGTTCCTAGACCCAACTCCTCATTCACCATCCAACCCATTGAGAGGATGGTGATGAACTCATGGTCATGATATTACTATGACAACATGGATGACACCATATGAACCCAAAATATCCTTCTCTGTTTTCCAAAAGAGGTCTCATTTGCCAATAAATGTATCCTACTTGCACACCTAAAAAAATTGCAAAGCTTTGCCATGACTAACATTCCCTGCATAAAAATCATCCAGGCTCTCAACCAAACCATACAAGCTCTCTACCAACCAAATTCCTTTGCTTGGTATTCATTGCCTCTGCAAGTTCTAAGACTAGGGTATCGAGGTCCCGACCCGAAAATCGTTGCTCTAGTCATGATCGCAATGGTAGCAACTTTTACAACAGTAATGTTCAAAATAAGAAATGGAAAGAAAAATCAAGAGAAAGCCGAAGAGAACGTAAAGTTCCAAAGGAGTCTCTCAATGGCTACACTGCGAGGAGGAAAACCTGCTTTGCAATGTTTCATCATCGCCCAACAAGCACTTGTGGAGCCAGATATCCTTACCAATGCCAAATATCAATTCGGAAAGTTGTTAGAGGATGACCTCCCAAACTTTGAGCAGTTGCAGGTCTGTATCCCCTTCATGTTTAAGATTTTAATAACCGTTTATGATCTTTATCTATTCTTAGTCAGAATTGCCATGAAAATGTTGATAATTGCGTTGAATCCCTAGTGGAAAAAGTTTATATAAGGTTGCAACCTTAAAGTGTAAAATTATAGATGCACCTCAAAAATCCACCGGAGAATGTTGTTTTACTGTTGAAAAACCCTCTAGACACCGAGATGTATGAATATGAAAAAAAATACAAATTTTGAGTCCTAGAAATATTGCATCTTGAAACACAGTATCTAGACCGTCCATTTTTAAGATTTTCATATTTTTATAGATCAACTTCATTTTAACCATTTTTTGAGTTTAAAATTTTATAATTAGATAAGAAAATAGATTTTCACATAATCCTAGGAATGTTTTACACCAAATTACAAGTTATGATAAAATTTGGAGGTGCTTCTTAATTGGATTGTTTAAGGCTACAACCTTATAGAGACGACACCTATCCCTATTTTATAGGATTGGTTGTCCTTTCACTTTGGGTTTCCATTTTTTTTTGGGATAGTTCCTATTATTTAGAATGACTATCGTTTAGGTTAGTCCTAGTTGGGTTACCATGGACATGTGGGTCTATACAAAAAGATAAAAGTCAAGATTCCCTAAAAGTAGAAGGGCAATCTTTCTATCCTTCTCCTACAACATAAAACTTATATATTTCCCCTTATCCAGCCCTCCATTCTGAATGGAGGGCTAAGATTGCCCCAATCGCAATGTCACATCTCTATACTATTTTATTTCTAATATTTTTTCTATAAACTATTTTGACACCGAAATTTGGACATCCAATCTTCTATTAAGCTCGCAATAGCAAAAAATATAAAACAAATATTTTCAACAAAATCAAATGACCAAAATATTCTTGAAAGTTTAAATGAGGGCTCATTTTGGTGAAATCTCTCTCTAAGATGGCTCATTTCATATTCATACAATTTTTATAAAAGAAACAAAAAACAAAATACTTTGAGACATTGGATTTATGATCAAACGGTGAGTGGCTCCCTTGAGCAAAATTGGATGGCTGGATGGTAGGGGAAGCATCGATCTTCTATGTTGTGTGCAAGGAAAATAAGGGGAAGCTTTTGGATTTTTGTAGATAGAGAAAATTGTACAGAAAGAGGCATGCGAGAGATTAGATTTCTTCTCTTAGGTATGAGTTTTTTTCTCTCTAGTGAAAAAACATCAATCATCTTCGTCCATGGTCGTAGTCACATCTGTGACGAACCAAGTAAATTTGGGTGTTCTTTTTCTGTCATTTTTTTCCTACTTTATTTTTCTTGATTGTTATTGGTTCTATTTTTTTTGTACTTTATTTACCAAAAATCACTCCACCTGGTTTAGAGTGAATAATCCTGTATACCATGACAATGGATAGTCTTATGTATACCATGATGTGGGTACAATAGGATGTTTTGTAAGACTTATCAAGTTGCTACCAAAGCAATCCAAGTTAGGAACATTGTGTTGGTACGTGTGGGTGGCCATGAGGCATTAAACGTGTCATATTTTTCACTCTCTTTATCTTCATCGTACATTTTATCTTTATTAACAAAAATGAGTGCTCTTAAAGAGAGAAGATGCCATTATCCAACGGGTCCTATGATTAGAGGGTCACGTTTCTCAGAGATTCCAAAAGAAAGCCGAACGTTGGAGAACAGCCTCATCCCATTCCTCTTTAAGAAAGGTTGTAATGGCTATGGAGAAGAAGTACACAACAAAATATAGAGTTCTAATTGTTCTAGCATACCTGACATCTGGGATCGACAGTCTTACGACATTGCCATTAATCCTGGGAGCTTGGTATTATTTTCATCATCTGCTCATCAATAGTCTAACATTGGTATCTGAGCAGGTTTTATCTTACATTTTTTTATTAGTGTTTATATCTTATTTTTCCTGAGTTTAATTTACAATAACATTGATATTGTGCTTTGCCATTCCCGTATATCTTGTTGTAAAAATTTTCTAACCTCAAATTTAGCAGTCAGAAATTTTTTAACTCCATTCTCCTTTTCTCTTTCATGTTCCGTTGACACCAGCACCCTTATACACTCACATCTACGCTCCATTGAAATCCCCATTCGTATTCCCAACTCTGCCTCCTCTCTTTATTATCAAATTTTGGTGTCTGAGTTGATAAAAACTTAGGTATGTTAAAATAATAAAGAGTTAAATGGATGAAATTGGTTTTCTCATATTTATCTCAATCTAGTCCAGTAGTATTCTTCTTTGAATTTTTGTTTTTGTTTTTTCTGAGAATCTTGTTGATCATTTACTTGGGTCTTGCTTATTGATTGTAATTGAGTCTAAATTTCTTGATTAATTGTTGCTTTGTTTCACACCCGCTTTCTCTTTGTTCAACGCCTGAAGGTCTTGTCTTCACTCAAAAGGTCTTGTCTTCACTCAAAATTCCTCTACGTCTCTCTCTGTCTAGTAGACAACAAGTCCATGTTCTCTTTGCTCTTTTATACAAGGGTTTCAAAGAGAAGAGAGGAAAACCCAAATGAAAACCCACTGGTGTCTCTCTTCTCTTTAGCTTGAGTTCCCAATGGGCTTCTCTAACAAAACTCTTTCAGCAGAGAAGAAAGAGAACCATATTTAGAGAGAGAAAGAGAGCCATTTTTAGAGAGAGAAAGAGAAGTTCGCCAAATGGGTATTTAGAGGAGTTAGAGAGAAAGAAGACTGATGAGGAGAAGATAGAGGAGGGTAGTGATTTTTGAAGATAAGAAGAGACCAAGTCAAAGTTACTTAGTCATCAAGTTAGTTTGGTGATAAGGCCTCGTACTATTTACCTCTATCTTCAAGATTCATACCATATTTGTCTCCTATAATTGTGTGATTGTCCTTTATATGTAGAAGTTCTTATTAATGTAAACATTCATCCAAAAATCAGTGAAGATGTAGCCCGTTGGGGCTTTGGATCCTTGGACGTAGAGCTTTGGTCTGAACCACGTAAAATATTGTGTTATCTCTTTTTCTATCCCCATTCAATGTCTATGCATGTATACTCATACAAATCTTAACATGATATCAGAGCAAGAAAGATCTGATCTCTGTTGCAGCTTACATATCGTCCTTTTGTGATGTTTTCCTCCACCATTGATATCATAATCATAAACTCTCCTAGATCCAGACGTTGTTGCCATTGAGAATCAAAAGAATCAAGTGAGGCAAGCTTAACGATATGGGAATGAGACTCCACAGATGATGTGGCACCACCAATGCCATCAAAGGAGGTGTTGTTCTGAACAAAACTGTCAACAACATGTGAAAGTCCCTATTCCAAATCTTCAACATCAGCATCGTAACTTTTCAATGGTGTAGCAAGTTTTGGAGCAGTTGATGCACGTGGATTATTCCAGTGAAGCCTGCAACCCTAAAGAGAAAAAGAAAAAGAAATCCCAAAATCATTATGACTCACGCAGTGGTTTCTCTCTCTAGTTTCTATCATTCGCACTTGGCACCATCACTCCACCGCCTACCTTTTTCCTGCTCAGTTTCTCTCTCTACTTTTTTTTCACTCTCTTACACCGTGTTTACGCATTCACCATTATTTTAATCATCCCTCTTCTGCAGTGTTCCTTTCCCTTCTCAATCATCGTTTATACCCTGACTATATATATATATATCTCTCTCTCTCTATCTACTAAAAATTCGGATTCTAACTTTAAAAAAAAAAAATCTAGAAGTGTAAAAGAAAAAAAATCTAGAAGCCCAATTTCATTGACATTTTTTTCTTATATCATTACACTCAAAAAAAAAAATGTATTTTGCAAGTTGGGTGTTTTTTCGTATCCACACCCAACTTGAGGGGGTGAGTAAAGGAGATATGGAGATGAGATGAGTAGAGATGAAGTCAACATCTCTAATGTAATCGCTACATGGACAAGAACATCAGTTCTTGCCGGTATTCGTGTATTTTTCAATTGTCTCATGCGTTTTTTGCTCCTAGCGTCTCGCCATGTAACAGAGGACTTCATCATACCATTATTGTAGTGACATCGTCAGGGGGAGCACATTCATGATTAGTGGATTTTTCAAGGAGAAGTTTTCACCGATCTTCAGTATTCGTTTCCTGCCTTTGTAGCACTTTTAGTGGTCTTTAGACCAAGTTTGGTGATACGTGTCCCGGATCACATCTCTTTACACTTGCAAACTACCTAGATCACATCTCTTCACTCTTGCAGACTATCAGGATCACATCTCTTCGCTCTTGTAGACTATTCAAGCACGTGAGAGCAGTGCAAGTTTTTTGACAATTTTTTTGGTTTCAAGATTCTAGTTCCAGTTTCAGTTTGGCAAGTAGGCACTTCGCTTTAAATGTTCGTGCACCAACTTGAGGAGGAGTCTTGAAGATAAGAAGAGACAAAGTCAAAGATACTTCGTCATCAAGTTAGTTTGGTGATAAAGCCTCTTACCATTTGCCTCTATCTTCAAGAATCATACCATGTTTGTCTCCTATAATTGTGTGATTGTCCTTTATATATAGAGGTATTTATTAATGTAAACAGTCATCCAAAAATCAATGAAGATGTAGCCCGTTGGAACTTTGGATCCGTAGACGTAAGACTTTGGCTTGAATCACATAAATATTGTGTTTTCTCTTCTTCTCTCCCCATTCAATGTTTGTGTATATATGCTCTCAAAAATCTTAACAGTTTTAATGGGTCTGGCTTACAGTATGATTCTGATGAGCCAACTGATGTTAAGATCGACAAGAATTGTGAACTTTTTACAAAAGGGGGGTAGTGGTGTCAATAATAATAGTAATGGTAATGGAGTTGTTGGGGTTGGAGATCAAAAGGGAAAGAGAAGAAAATCTCATGGTTGAGAGGAGGCGTAGGAAGAAGCTCAATGATCGGCTTTATATGCTCCGGTCCGTTGTCCCCAAGATCAGCAAGATGGATAGAGCCTCCATTCTGGGAAATGCGATAGATGCGATAGACTACTTGAAGGAG